TGAAATTACATTCATGCAAGGATTATTTATTAATATTATCAATATAAAGTGTGTTCAATAAAGTACTGTAAGTTTAACCAGGATTCAGTATTCTTATTTGCGTGCCCGGATTATAAGTGGAAGAATGAAGAAGCCTTAGTCGGCATCCTGAAATATCAACATAACATAAGTAACCATACTACTGACATAACCCACAGCATAAGAAATAAGCTCCCACGCCATGTCAGAGTAGGTGTGTTACAATTATAATGAACAAATATCTTTGCTGAACAGATGTTGTTCCTTGTGTTTCCTAACATGTTCTATTAGTTTTATAATAAATATAAATGATAGATATCTGGTACGAGAAATTGTCAGAAGTAATTTACACAATATTTGAATTGCTTCATTATTGTGAACATGCCTTGCTGAAATAATCCTTGCTGATCACCTGCTCTTGCTAATTGATTTTCATTTCTAATTCATAGTTAATGGTTTCTACAAATTTTCCATTAATTTATATACAAATATAAATATAATATGAATGTCTTTTAAGGTGCTGGAAATGATAAATTTTCAGTACAAAAATCCCCATTTTTTATAATATTTCTTGAGCAGAATTTTGTTTCCTAAACCTAAGTGTGTTGATTTATTATTAAAAAAGATGAAAATTTTCTACAATACTGTGTAACATTTTTAAAAATCTATGAAATTCATAATTTTTGTGTACATGCCTTGCTGAAATATTTTTTGTAAAATATTTTGTTGGTTTCACCTTTGTCTGATGAGTTCACATTGTTGTGCTTTAAATTACATTTTACTTGACTCCTGTAGATTTAGAATAGCTTCATTTATTGTTTTTTAATGATATTTTGAAAATGAACTAAAATTAACTTTTGTCTTCCTTTAAATATTTTGAAAAATTGAGCTTGGGCTCGTTTTCGGATGAATAATTATTGTATTTACATTTTTGTGACAACCCCCTGAAAAAATTGAGTTTGTTATATGTATAACTGTATGTGTGTGCAAGAGATTTGAAAGCTGTAACTTAGTTATTTTAGAGGATAGCAGGTGTCAAATCTACACTTTCCTGGCGTCTAAAAATTGACTCCGTTCCTGATTTAAAAAAAAAAAAAACACACCTTTTTTAATATAGGAGATAGAGAGTTCAAATTTGTTGTTCTGTTGAAGCCAAGCTCTATTTAGGGTAATAGTTCAATTTCATTTATATTCATTATGAAATTTTTATATAGAATACATAATATCGGGGTATTGGCTGGATCTGATTCATTACGTGAGGTGCGCAGATGAGACTTCTTCTGGCACTAAATTTTCTGGGGCAGTAGGTGCAAGGGATGGATGGGCAGAATGGGATTAACATTTTGGAGGCCTGGTGCACACATAACAAATTTAAAAAAACAACATCCTTAATATGCAACCTAACCACTATAAAAAATACAAATGAATTATATACCGTTTAGTAAAACAAAAAAACAAACTAAAATTGAGAAAGGATTTTATAATTGTATTTGAATTGTTTGCTTAGTCAGTTCCTATAATATGCACATTGAATTAATAAGACTTCAGTGTGTTCCTAGGATTTTCCTGGCCAGTTACTAGGTATTAAGAAGGTACAGTGGTCTAACGTTCGACGTACCTATATTTTTTAAAGCCGTATTGGCTTCATTTGATATCATCGGGGTATGTCATGGTTGGACCATTACGAAAATTAAAAGTGATTTACGCGTGTTCTTATAGCGTCACACTCCACAAACGTTGGTATAAAATGGAAACTCTCTCAAACTATCTTTTTTGTCCGCCTCTGTCTCATCCTATCTACTCTACTCTCTTTCTCACACATGGAAAAATGCTGACTAAACCTAATGTATTTATACCGCCCAACATCACACATCACACACCAATCAAAACCAGTTCATAAGATGACATAGCCTTCAAACAATGGGTTTGGACATATTTGGCAACCATTTCCTCAACCAACCCTATTCGGAGGAAGGGGGGCAATGGCCCCCATTTAGATGTGACTAATGTAGGCCATGGTTGTAATGAGGCTACTTAAGCAACACCGGTGCACTTTTAAAACAAACGCTTTGGAGGCCTGGTTTGAATCATATTACGTATTGCTTGAACTTTGGAAGGTCTTATTACTGGTGAACCCGTAAAAAAAGATGAAAAAATTACATTAAATCCTTTGCCATAAACTTAAAACTTTGCTATCATTTTAAATTAGACATTTTGAATTTAAATATTTAAAAGGTAGACGTGTCTAAGTTTTCTAGATTTGTGACCAATCCTGGTCTGCAAATGTCTAACGAGATGCCTGCCTTGCGTGATTCAACAACTAGTAGTGGGTGACATTATCAAGAGTACTTCAAATTTTGAGTTGGTTTATCTTTAATTTGCAATAAGAAGGGAGCAACAAAAGCCGTCAGAGTTTGATCCCTTTTGCAATGGCTTGTTAACAAAGACATTGTGCCAAGTCTTAATTGTTATGTATTTATAGCTCAACATTCTGATAAACAGTAGTAACTTTTCAAGGTCAATTAACTCTTAAATGAAATGTGTTTGACACGTTATAGTTTTAACTGTTTTTTTGTTCTAACTGTATAACTAATCTTAAATTCATAAGGCACCAGGTACCAGCTTTGTAATTTCAAATAATACAATTGGAAGGTTTAGAAAACTAAAATAAATAACACTATTTTTATTTTAGTTATCGGGTGTCTGTTCCATTCAGCTGAAAGTTAAATATTAAACTTCTGTACTTTATATGTATAGTTGTATGACTTTTTCATATCCGGAACCCTGAAGACAAAATAATGTGTAATTTGAAATGGTTATGCTTTATATATATATATATATATATATATA